TAACATCCATCTGGCAAAGGCAGAAGGAGGACCCAATCTGTCTTCCACAAATAATTATTCACAACGCTCAGTTTGGTATTAGTGCACAATACTATTCACTTCTACATACCAACTCTGTCCTAGATGGAAACTAGCATTTGACTCTAATTGGGATAAAATTAGGGCACATAAAGAATATCAATTGCTCTTATTAACAACTGCAGCATACATGTATAACAAACTCAGTTGACATAACGTACTTTTCACAACTTTCTTTCCCTTTTGTTATTTTTCCTTCTTCCCTTCTTTTACTTGCTTAAAACCTTTGCATTTCGAACTTCTCTCAATTTTCAAAAACAGATCATCAACCTGAATCATCTAGTTTGTTTTTGTGTCCACAAATACTGCTGTCCACTGGTCTGCTGAGCTTTCTCTGCCTTCATTTTATTTTCAGTATTCATAGAATTTTGCATTTGTATGGTCATGTTTCGCCAATTTGCTTGAAATGTTAGAGGTGGTATCTTGATTGGTGTAGATAGTTCCAATGACACTGTATACCTTTCATGTGGGCAAAAAGATGACAAGGTGCCAAAAATATTCTACTTAACATTATTTAAGTTATATAGAATGAATAGACAAATGTTGAACTAACTGAGGAATGAGTTGCATTCTTGCTGACAGGAGGTTGTCGTTTTGTGGGGACTATCAGAATCAGTGTTGGGTCCTTTTTTTCTTCTCCACCTTTATCAATGATGTGATTGATTCTCTTCACAGATTTGGAAATTGCACAAAAATGTTAGGATGATAGGACCTGAGACAATGAAAATGAAGTACAAGGACATCCAAATAAGGATAAAGGCATGTGTCTAGCATATGGTGTTTAACACAATTGTAACATTATTCACCTGTGGAGGGCTAGCAAAAAATATGACTATAATTTGCAAGGTTGCATTTTCAATGCTGCTGAATTGGAGAAAGGCCTGGAGTTCGGAAGTACCCTGAATCTGTGAAGAACTACAACCAATGCTAGAAGACTATTGTAAAAATAAATAGAAGGTTAGAAGATATTGCCAGAATGGTTATATACAGAAAAAAAATACTATATTACTTTTGTACTAGACCCGGGTTAGGCCTTGATTAGAATGTTACGCTCAGTTTTGGTACCGTCATACAGCACGTAAGAACATACAAGTAAGAAGCAGTGGGCCACTTGACCATTCAAGACAGCTCAGCCATTCAATGTCATGCCTGACCTGGCCGCTCCACATTCCTGCCTGCTTTCAATAGCCTTTCACTCCTTGCTTACCAATAATCTTATCACCTTCTACTTCAATACATTTAAAGGCCCTGCTTCTGCTGTCTTTTAAGGAAAAGAGTTCCAAGTGCTTATGATCCTATGTAAGAAAAAGATTCTTCTCATTTCTGCCTTAAAAGACCACCCCTAATTTTGATACAGTGGCTCCCAGTTCTAGATTTTTTCGCAGTAGAAACCTACCTTGCATCTCCACTATGTAAGAACCCCTCATTATCTTGTAAGTTTTAGTCAAGTCACTTCTTATTCTTCTAAAATCCAGCAGATATAAGCCTAGCCTGTTCAAGGTTTCTTCGTAAAACAACCTGCCTATTCTACATGTTAGTCGAGTAATCCAGTACATGAACAAAGTTCTTCTAGAACCTTAATGGTCTTAGAGAGCTAGGAACTTTACTCAAGAAAAACATTTTTAAATAGATTAATTTGACGTCTTCAAAGTAATTTTGGCAATGCATAAGTGAGTTGGTTACAAAAGTGCTCTTTATATTTGAATGCTGAGTCATGTGGCCTGCAGTTGGGATGTCCATCCTATGGATTTTGTTACTCATTTTCATAGCCATCTCTTTTAACATTTATTTACTTTTTTAATTTGTTACTGTCAGATATGGTTACGCTCCATTTCATCATCTCCTCTCTCTGCCTGATAGTAGAACTGTGCTAGAAATTTGTGGCATTTTATTAGCTTTCAACAATACCCAATTGTTTTGTGAATATCTGGATTTGAGTTAAGTGCTGTTTCATAAGTATTATAGTTTATGAAATATTGATATAAGAAGCCAGTTTTAATGAAATGCAGATAGCTTATTAAAGATCATTGAAAATATTCTGAATTGTGATTCTGTTTTAAGTCACAGCTCATGTTAGTAAATTTAACAACTGATTTGAAATTCATGTCAGATATCACTTTTCTGTAGTTTACTGGTAGAATTTATCTTATTTTTATTGTAAAATTGCAAGGATGCTAGAATAACAAACCTGTGTAAACATCATAGAGTATATCAAATATTTTGAAGGGGATGTAGATGTAGAGGATGTTTATACAATGTTGAAATCCTACCTAACATAGGACACATATTCAGTCCCCCACCTGTTTCCAATAAAGAATTTTTATAAATATGATGTATTAAGTCCACAGGTTATAAGAACTTCAACAATAGATCTTGATCAGATGTACTCTAGAACTCTGTGGGAAGCTAGGGAAGTGATTGCTGGGCCCATTGATGTTTGTATCATCGATAGCCACAGGTGTGGTGCCGGAAGTTTGGAGGTTGGCTAACATGGTGCTACTATTTAAGAAAGGTGGTAAGGAAAAGCCAGGGAACTATAGATCGGTGGGCATGACATCAGTGGTGGGTAAGTTGTTGGAGGGGATTCTGAGGGACAGGATTTACATGTATTTGGAAAGGCAAGGACTGATCAGAGATAGTGAATGGGGTTTTGTGCATTGGACACCGTGTTTCACTAACTTGATTGAGTCTTTTGAAGAAGTAGCAAAGAGGATTGATGAAGGCAGAGCAGTGGATGTGATCTATGTGGACTTCAGTAGGGTGTTTGACTAGTTAGCAAGGTTAGATCACATGGAATACAGGAAGAACTAGCGACTTGGATACAGAACTGGCTCGAAGGTAGAAGACAGAGAGTTGCTTTTCAGACTTGAGGCCCATGACCAGCGGTGTGCCTCAAGGATTGGTGCTGGGTCCACTGCTTTTCGTCATTTATATAAATGATTTAGATGTGAAATTAAGAGGTATGGTTAGTAAGTTTGCAGATGACACCAAATTTGGAGGTGTAGTGGACAGTGAAGAAGGTTACCTTGAAGTATAACAGGACCTTGATCAGATGGGCCAAGGAGTGGCAGATGGAGTTTAATTTAGATAAATGTGAGGTCCTGCAATTAGGAAAGGCAAATTAGGGCAGGACTTATACACTTAATGGTAAAATCCTGAGGAGTGTTGCTGAACAAAGAGACCTTGAAGTGCAGATTCATAGTTTCTTGAAAGTGGAATCCTAGGTAGACAGAATAGTGAAGAAGGCATTTGGTATTCTTGCCTTTATTGGTCAGTGCATTGAATATAGGAGTTGGGAGGTCATGATGAGGCTGTACGGGACATTGCTTAGGCCACTTTTGGAATATTGTGTTCAATTCTGGTCTCCCTTCTTTAGGAAGGATGTGTGAAACTTGAAACGGTTCAGAAAAGATTTACAAGGATGTTGCTTTGGAGGGTTTGAGCTATCGGGAGAGGCTGAATAGGCTGGGGTTTTTCCCTGGAGCATCAAAGGCTGAGGGGTGACCTTACAGAGGTGTTTATAAAATCATGAACGGCTGAGATAGGGTGAATAGCCAAGGTCTTTTCCTCAGGGTAGGAGAGTCCAAGACTGGACAGCATATGTTTAAGGTGAGATGGGAAAGATTTAAAAGGGATCTAAGGGGCAATATTTTCATACAGAGGGTGGTACGTGTGGAATAAGCTGCCAGAGGAAGTGGGGGAAGCTGGTATAGTTACAATATTTAAAAGGCATCTGGATGGGTATGTGAATAGGAAGGGTTTAGAGGGGTATGGGCCAAATGATGGAAAATGGGACTAGATTAATTTAGGATATCTAGTCGGCATGGACGAGTTGGACCAAAGGGTCTATTTCCATGCTGTACAGCTGTATGACTCTGTGATCTGTAAATGCCCCAACTTCTTTCCTTGCCCTGTTTCATCCCTCTCTAATCATTATATACTGAATTATATAGGGTGAAAGTCCAGGTAACGTTTGGGACCTTTTACTTTGTAACCAAGGTGGCAAAGTTTCTAATCCACTCTGGTTAGCAGTACCTTCTGTTATATCTGTGTAATTGGTGGTCAAGTGACACATCTGTGCTGAGAAATCAAGCCAGTAACTTCTCGTAAGCTTTCATTTCCCATATATTAAATGACGAGGTTCATGTATGCAACTGGAGTAAACTTTAACTTTGTATTTTTTATAAGTTGTATGTCAGATGCAACGAGTGAACCAATCTCAAAGAGCAAAATATAATTAAAGTCCTATTGTCAGTTACAGATTTGTAAGCTTTAATAAGATTATATTATTATTTACCTTCATTTGTTCAAATATTTTTGTTGATTTTTAAATGGTCAACAGTGTAATTATGGCTAATCCATTTAGTATTCCTTGTGCTAATCTTACGTGTTGTTTGGATCTCATGGCGCAAAGACAGTATATCTCTGTCCGTATAAGATAGCCACATGCCTGAAGCATTTGGAGGTCGTGAAGTTTTGGGCCTAAACTTGTTGGATTGAATGGCTAGCCTCAATCAGCTTTGAACAGTATTTCAACTTAACGTTGATAAATTAATTCTAGTTTATTTTCCATTTAAAATTGCTATCAGTAAGTTCAAGATGAACCTTAGCCACACCCAAAAATTGATGTAGCTATCTTATTTTACAACCTGTTAATGTCAGCGTCTTAAATAATGAAAAGTAATCTTGCTATCATGGCTGACATATTTACTGTTTTGGCAGTGAAGTTTAGGTGAAAGATTGGGTTGAAGCTACATTGTTTTAATTCACTGTCAGGATGTGGGCATCGCTGACTGAGTCAGCATTTATTGTCCATCCCTAATTGCCCTTTGAGAAGGTGGTGGTGAGCTGCCTTCTCGAACTCCGTTCATTGGTATATCAAACTAATTCAGCTTTAGCTTTTTTTAAATATATTTTTGTAGGTACTGCAAGGTGCACAGTTAATTGCAGTGGCTTCTGCTGAACATCCAACCAGTGGAGTAGATGGATCACCTCTCCAGGGAAGTGATATCCAGGTGCAGTATGTACAGCTTGCACCAGTAACAGATCACAACGCAGCAGCTCAAGTGAGTAACAGACCAATTCATTTCCTCTTCAGTTTTTGTTAGGTGAGGCAACTTGATTAATTGGTGTCATCGTAATCTCAGCTAAAACCTAAAAGCAATATTTACAAAAGAACTTTACATTTAGATAGCTACTAAACTACCATTCACATGACCTTCAGCCACATTTTATATTTTCTTGTTGCATTGACACTCCCTGTGCACCACAAACCCTTTTATTGTTTAATTACTGTGAACCTTCACCTCTGTTCTTCATCTGCCTCTGCCCCCTCCTCCCCATCCCCACTCCTTTCATCTGCTCACAACCTATTACTTTGCCAACTTTTTTCAGTTCTGATGAAAGATCACAGATTGGACATGTTAAGTTTGTTTCTGCCTACATAGATGGTGCTGGACCTTCTGAGTATTTCTAGCATTTTCGGACTTTCTTAAAAGCAATACTTTGTGGATTTTCTCCGAGACGATTTATCTATTGAGGGTGTAATGCTTTGTGAATGAATGCTCCTCTTTTGCTAGATGTGGAATATTTCACTAGTATAATTTCACTAGTATAATGTATATATTTTGTGTGTTGATGGAAATTGCTCCATCTTTTGTTTTCTCCATTTACATGGATAGCCTCAACCATTGTTACTGGAGTCTATATTAAATGGGATGTTTCAGAAGTTTCAGTGGAAAATTCTTTGCTGTAGTGGCCTGGAGAACAAGCGCCATATTGGTGGAGTGCAGCGCCCTTATGCCTGTTTCCTACATACTTGTGTTGTAAGGCTGTGATGTCATATGCCAGAATGGCTGATATGATGCCAGGGTCTCAGATTTGGATACACAGATCCAGGCAATGTATTCAGTCCCTCAAGTTACTCAAATGTTTTATTGGAGGTATCAAGTTGTGTTGATTTCCTGGGTTTAGCAGGAAGTGTTGTTACATTCTCATGGGGATGGCAGAGAAACAGGAACCTGTGTGTACCAAAGCTGCATCAGGTATGGAAATAGTAATGGAAATACTTCTGAGTTTGCAGCCCAACTTTGCTTTGTAAACAACTCTGTCTTGAAGGAAAGTCAAAGTAGCTAATCTCAGTCCTTCTTACTGAGGGTGGTCAACTGCCTTCTCAATGCACTCTGTTTTAATTTTACCATATAACTGATTTCTATGGGGTGCAGACTAAACAATGACTCCAGTAATATATCTGAGACAGGTGTGTTAGATATATTGTCTAGGAACCATGGACTTCATGGAAGTTTTGCAGAATTTAATGGCAAGAATTGATTTAATTTTGTTTAATTGGTTCCCTAATGGCAACTATGCTGGGAGTCACCATTGACCAAGAACTGGCCTGAACCAGCAAATACGGTGACGACAACAGGAAGTCAGAGGCAAGGAATCCTACAGCAAATAACACACCACCTGACTCCCCACAGCCTATCCACCATTTACAAGGCACAAGTCAGGACTGTGATGGAATGTGTCCACTTGCTTGGATGAATGCAGCTACAACAACACTGAAGAAGCTAGATGCCGTACAAGACAAAAACAGTCTGCTTGATTGGTACCACATCTATTCCCTCCTCCACAGACAATCAGTAGTAGCATCTTGTGCCATATTCAAGATGCACTGCAGAAATTCACCAAGGCTTCTTAGACAGCACTTTCCAATCGACAATCACTACCATCTAGAAGGACAAAGGCAATAGATACATGGGAATGTCACCGCATTCAAGTTTTCTTCCAAGTTAGTCACTGTCCTTACTTGGAAATATATCATGGTTCCTTCAATGTTGCTGAGTCAAAACTCTGGGACTCCCTGCTTGACAGTATTGTGGGTATATCTACACCAAATGGATGACACTTGTTCAAGAAGACAGCTCACAACAAACCTTTTGAGGTCAACTTGGGATAGGCAATAAATGCTAGCTCATCCAATGATGCCCACATTCCATGAAAGAATTAAAAATAAAGCCAATCGATTGTTGGCTGATTGTGCATAAGTTGGGTATTTAAGGATCTGACAGTCATGCTTTTAAGTTCACATCTTTCCTCTTAAGGACGGTTGAGCCGATGTACCCTCTTGAACAACCATGCGTGAAATATAGTTCCCAAATGGCAAGGTCAAGAACTACCTTTTTGGCTTAGGCTTCCTTAGCATTTTGTGTATTGCATATTAATACTAAATGCTACCATACATGGTAATGTGAAATTTACTAGGCTGTAAACTTAACGTTAAATTATGATAACTATTCTCTGTATGTCTTTCTCTCTTCAAATCTGCTTTCTATCTTTCTTTCAACCATTTTCTAACCTATCATTCTCACTAACTCGGACCACACTCTGCTTTGCGTGACCAGTTCTGAGCAGCTCCCTGGTATTATCTCAGGCTTGCTCCAGTTTCCTAAAGCTGTTCCACCTCATCCTCCCCAAACTTCTTCACCCATCGTAAATATTGAATACATTCACATACATTCTCAAATGAGATAGTAGGAACTGCCGATGCTGGAGAATGTGAGATAACAAGGTGTAGAACTGGATGAACACAGCAGGCCAAGCAGCATCAGAGGAGCAGGAAAGCTGACGTTTTGGGTCGAGACCCTTCTTCAGAAATGGGGGAGGGGAAGGGGATTCTGAAATAAATAGGGAGAGAGGGGGAGGCGGATAGAAGATGGATAAAGGAGAAGATAGGTGGAGAGGAGACAGACAGGTCAAAGAGGCGGGGTTGGAGCCAGTAAAGGTGAATGTTACTGACTCCCACAGCTACCTAGAATACACCTCCTCTCACCCACCTTCCTGCAAAAAGGGCATCCCCTATTCCCAATTCCTTCGCCTCCGCTGCATCTGCTCCCAAGATGAGGCATTCTGCTCCCGGACATCCCAGAAAAACAAGGACCACAACTTCCCCTCCACAGTGGTCGAAAATGCCCTTGACCGTGTCTCTCACATTTCCCGCAACTCATCCCTCACACCCCCTACCCACAATAACAACGAAAACAGAATCCCCCTCATCCACACGTACCACCCCACCAACATCCGGATCCAACGCATCATCCTCCGACACTTCCGCCATCTGCAATCTGACCCCACTACCAAAGACATTTTTCCCTCCCCACCCTTATCTGCTTTCCGGAGGGACCACTCTCTCCGCGACTCCCTTGTCCGCTCCATACTCCCCACCAGCCCCACCACCCCTGGCACTTTTCCTTGCAACCGCAGCAAGTGCTATACCTGCCCCTAATCTCCCCCTCACCCCCATCCCAGGCCCTAAGAAGACCTTCCACATCAAACAGATGTTCACCTGCACATCTGCTAATGTGGTATACTGTATCTGCTGTTCCTGTTGTGGCCTCCTCTACATCAGGGAAACCAAGTGGAAGCTTGGGAACCGCTTTGCGGAACACCTATGCTCGGTTCGCAACAAACAACTACACCTCCCAGTCGCGAACCATTTCAACTCCCCCTCCCACTCCTTGGACGACATGTCCATTCTGGGCCTCTTGCATTGCCACAATGATGCCACCCGAAAGCTGCAGGAACGGCATCTCATATTTCGCTTGGGAATCCTGCAGCCCAAGGGTATCAATGTGGACTTCACAAGCTTCAAAATCTTCCCTCCCCCGACCGCATCCCAAAACCAGCCCAGCTCGTCCCCGCCTCCCTAACCATTCCTCCCACCTCAAGCCCCACCCCCATCTCCTACCCACTAACCTCATCCCGCCTCCTTGACCTGTCCATCCTTCCTGGACCGACCTATCCCCTCCCTAACTTCCCACCTACGTTCACCTTTACTGGCTCCAACCCCGCCTCTTTGACCTGTCTGTCTCCTCTCCACCTACCTTCTCCTTTATCCATCTTCTATCCACCTCCCTCTCTCTCCCCATTTATTTCAGAATCCCCTTCCCCTCCCCCATTTCTGAAGAAGGGTCTAGGCCTGAAACGTCAGCTTTCCTGCTCCTCTGATGCTGCTTGGCCTGCTGTGTTCATCCAGCTCTACACCTTGTTATCTCACATTCTCAAATGAGTTAGTACACTTACTTTGCATTTTTTCACATCTATCATACCCCTCTAAGATTTTGACTTGATCCATCTGTTTTAAAAAATGGGTAAGGGATGTCTTAAAGTATGGAAATACTTGAGGTAATTTGGTCAGTTTTTATTCTGCGGCTTCTATTAAATCAGAGATTTAATCTATCTTGGTGGCCTCATCACATGTCCTGAACAGATTACCTGATCCCTTGGTTTGGACTAAGGTATCAATGTTTTATGGCAGACCACCAGTGCTGTCTGCTTTCGTTCTGGTGAAGCAGATTGTCCTACAGTAAGGAGGTAGATGGATAAGCTGAAATAATGAGATGAGTTGTGGCTGATTGGACCTTCAGCGTGTCTAAAAGGTATGAACGGTCCTGCCTAGGAACATGCTCTCTGACAGAAATCCTTTCTATGAATGTCCCTTATCCAGATCAGTTGTATATTTTCCAATGTAGGCAACATTTTGGTGCAGTAACGTTTAGTATCCTACTCTAGAGTTGGTTTTGCTTTTGGGAAGTAGTCTTCATTGCCCTGTTGTTATCCCATGGAAGCAAGTTGCACGGTAATGCAGGAAGTTGAGATTTTAATCTGTTCTTTGGCAGTTCTGACGGAGACAGCCCTGAGGAGAGCAGGATGGAACAGTAACTGAGTAGAGCAGTAAGAAATTCTGGAATTTTCCTTTTATGTTTATTGTTGTCTGAACTGCTCATGCAGCCTCTCTATTGGACTGAGGATATCTAAGTGAAATTGTGAAAGCCCTCTGCATTTGAAAGTTCTTCAAACATTTCTGTAGAAAACTGAGCACCTTTGTCAGAAACAGCAACATATGAAATATTATGGGTGGTGAACATCTCCTGTAGGGCCCTCATAATCGTTTGTGTTGTTGATTTTAGTTTTTAACCTGAAATTATCTTAGTTTTTAATTGTTCATGATTAGGAAAGAATGGCCTTCAGACTTGAAAACGTACATGTCCAAACGAGCCTAAAG